CCGGTAGGGAACTGAAGAAAATAGAAAATCTCTTGCCTTTGCCGGGTTTCGAACCCCCATTTCTCTGCTACTCCGTTTTCTGCACGGCGGGAGATCGCAGTCTTTATAAATAAATATTTTTTTATTGCTAGTGGGGTGGGACTAAGTCCCTTGTACTGCGGCCACTTCTGGCCTATTGTACCAGCCCCAGATGATAGGTGAGGGTGATTGCGGAACAATTGGTGGAATGAAGATAGGCAGGGGAAACCGAAGTACTCGGAGGAAACCTGCCCTAGCGCCACTTTGTCCACCACAAATCCCACTTGACCAGACCCGGCATCGCACCCTGGCTGCCGCGGTGGGAAGCTTGTGCTATGGCGCGGCCAAGTGAATAACTACATGCTTTTCTCTTCATCAATGACGCGCCTACCTCACACATAAATTCTTCCTCGAGTGCTTGATTGAGCATGCTGGCCGCGGTGTGTGTGTGTGGGTTGCCATGGATACGCTCTGTTTATTGCATCACTGCATAAGCTTCAAGTAGCCCTAAATGCCCCGTCGTAAATCTTTGTCTCGGTTATGCGCGAAGTGTTCTGCATTGGCCTGCACATTCCGCGGGTAAGTCGAGGCGTTATCTCACTGTGCCTGGAGCCTGAAATAGACTGACCTCCTGAACTGGATTCAACCAGTTTGTACGAATTTAAAATTCTTTCAAACTTCCCACACAATTTTTAAACTTCCTGTGGATACTTCCAGCTGATCAGAAGCAAGCTGGGAAGAACTCTGTGCCATTGTTACATAATGGACAACAATGTTAAGCTACTCTCTGAGCCCCAATATAAACAACCGCATAATTAGCCTACTTTCCTTATTTTGAAAAAAAAATGAACGTAGGCTCAACAGATAACCATGCTGTCTGTGTGTCTATGAAACCTCCCCTATCAAATTTTGAATACCTCAACTAAGCTTTATGAAACATGAGCCATCTCAACGGCCTATAACATAAATCCCTTACATCAGTAATACCAACATTGCAGCCTCCCAAATTGTTTTGTTTTACTGACTTCATTATGCACACATACTAAAATTTTCATCCTACTTCTATCAGATACTCGTATTACAGCGAAAGGAACGTGGGCTCTTAGTTCTTCCCAGAACTCCTTGTTTTCAGTAAGAAAACAGACAACCTTTTTTTTTCGAAGCTGTCTTTGGAATTCGTCTGTCTTCTACTTGTAGAACGCGATATTACGACTGTGATCTGGATTTTGGAATTCTAATTTCATATAAGGCGGTCCCTTTTTCTTCGACGAAAAAATAAGAAAAAATTATTTCTTTGTGTGCAGAACTAGTATATTATTTAGTCCTGAGGATTGTAATAAAAACAAGTAAAAATTATACTATTAAGGAATAACAAATTCAAAATTTAATACATTAAATATAATTCTTAGTATTTTCACAAATATATATTTATAATCAACAATCAGAACTCCTCATAATTATCGTAATTATTTGGTCAAAGCGTTTCTAGGCAACAACTCGGTAAAAACGTTCCAACGTGCAACAATGGAAGATGTGTCTCAGTGAGCGAATGTTATAACTCATTGTTAGGCAACAATCAGCACGCCAATGAACTCACTGGCTAGGAATCACGTGACTTATTTTCTGTGTTGTCCGTGCGGAGCCTATATAACGAAGACCTGTTGTAGCCTAGATTAGTGCTTAGTGCAGTGCAGTTCAGTGTAGTTAAAAGAGTTCAGAAGAGTTTTTAGTTGAGTTCCGAGGTTTCAATGTGATTGAACAAGAAATGGCAAGACGTTTTCGTAGTGATTTGAAGTGCTAGTTTCTGTGTTGTAATCTGTTGCCAGGAGACAAATAGTGATGACTAGGAATCCTAGTGCGTGTGTTAACGGTGGACTGTAAATTAGCGATAGCGCTGTATTGATTCTAATTAGGACAAATTGTAATTGAAATGCCAATAAATCTAATCATCCGAACTAGAACCCGTTATTTTCGTCACGCGTAACTCCCTATACGTGCAATATTTATTCTTAATGACTCAAATATATGGCGACTTCTCTTTTTTAACAGCCTGTATGTGAAGACAAAATCACCTTATTTTCGGGACGATTCAGTAGGCGCAGAAGTACTGTAGAAAGAAAAGTGCTATATAACCATCCTTGCGTCCACATTACATTTCCTCACTATATATTCCAATACCAAATTAAATAGTGCTGCCAAACTATTATACAGTACAATAGGTGGTAGGAGACGTGCGGGGAAACCAAGAACTAGATGGGCTGATGCGGTGGAAGAAGATGCAAAGAAGTTAATGGGCGTAAGGAACTGGAAGAGAGCAGCGCAGGATAGAGAGGAATGGAGGGGCTTGATAAGGGCGGCCAAGGCCCGACATCTGGCTGTTGCGCCATAGAAGAAGAAGAAGAAGAAGAAGAAGAAGAAGAAGAAGAAGAAGAAGATATAACTATCCTGTCCGCTCCGACAGCTCTGCATTGCAATTCCAGAAATTATTTTCATATTTCATGATGGTTGCTGAAGTTCTAACATCTTGAGGTTCTATGACTGACGCGTCATTACTGTGACCTTCAGAACAGAGCGCATGCGCGACGGGCAGGCCATAAAAAGCAAATCTCATTCCTGTAATAAAACGGCCAAACTCTCTTTGAAATTTCCCCATGCATAAATTTATATTAAGAATTTAAGACTATTTATACCAGCTGAGATACACAGCCAAGCTATGCCAAAGCAAATGGACGTGGAGCTGCATGCAGCAAACACGGTTCGTTACCGCGCGTGCTGCAAAACACACGGAGTTTACGTGCACACGGATGTCAGCGGTTCCATTACTTCTCTTATGGAGGAAAAAATGGAGAAATAAACTAATTTTCACTCGAACTCATGTCAAGAAAACGTGAATCTATATATCTACTCCCCCATACGTCTTTATGGCGTGGTGCTTAAGTAATTAAGTTCAGGGACAACTTTTTTTTCCCCCTTGGCACTACAGCCCCAGTGGGCCTAGGCCTACCTCCATGAACTTCTCCGTTCACTTCGGTTTTTCTAGATCTTACACATTCGGTAGGACTCCTTGGGCGGGTGATCAGCTCGTCGCAAGGCCTCTACCTGTACACAAAGACAGAAAGACGCACACACACAAACTAAACATCCATGCCCTGAGTGGGATTCGAACCCACGATCCCGGTTTCCAAGCGACCGAAGACAGTACATGCCTTAAACCGCTCGGCTACCGTGACCGGCCACGGACAAGTGTACCTTACTCATGTATATGACAGAAAAATGACCAATTTCCCTTTGTGGTTCTCTCATCAGGAACTCCTTGTGTGTACATTTTCTTTTTTAACGAAGCGCTGTTTGGGAGACGCGCTGTGTGATGGACACAAACGGAAGTGTGTGTGTGTAAGGTGCCTGGGGGTATAGCTGGCCACCCTATCACTGGGATAACATAAATACAGGGACCTGGTCCTCCAGGTTGGGGGGTTGGACGCAAGGCTGATGACCTTGCTCTGTAAACATTTCCGATGCGAAATCCAAAGAAGTGAAAATCGAATGCAGTCTGGAAGAATCTTCTGAGGGCGGCTGTGGCTCAAAAATGGCTGTTTTACCCGTGATGTAGGGAATTACGTCAATTAAAATGTGTGCTGGAATATGATATTAGGGGCAAAAGCAAAATTAAGTGCTATGATCTGTAATACAAGTAAACACTTGGACAGTGATGGTATCATACACAGCCTGCACTTGATGTGGCCTTAGTCCAGCCCAACCCGTCTGTCGTTCTCACAAACTGAAGTTAAGTGATTTTACTTTAGTATGTTCCGCCACTGAGCAGGCTGTGTGGGCGCTTCAGTCCACGATGAATCTTGGCCTGTTTCAGTTTCTTAATCATAGGACCTTCTGGACGGGGGATCAGCCTGTCGCAAGGCCACTGCCTGCACAGGACAACAAACACAGACATCCATGCCTCGAGCTTGATTCGAAACCACGGTTCCAGCATTCGAGGGGGCGAAGACAGTTCACGCTGCTGTGACCGGCTCTATGTTTAGTACCCGTACACAAATTACTGACGTTTTACACATCTTAATTCGAATTATTTTGCAAAGCAGACAATTTCCTAACAGTAATGACATTTATTCTAATCCGATTTAAAAAGAATTATCGTGTTCCGGGTTCGATCCTAGTTCAGGTCATACGGGATTTATGGTGAACAAATGACACTGGGGGTAGGTTTCCTCCGAGTACTTCGGTTTCCCGTGCCACTTCTTACCCAAACAACTGCTCTATATTCATTAATCACCATATTACGGATGCTACAGTCTCGATACTAACAGCGCCCTTACATAGAAAGGAAAGGGTTGTTTAATGCTCTATTAATATTCCAACCAAACATTCTAATAACTAATTTCAAGGAACAGGTTCTTGGTTGAGAAGCTAATCGTTGTTCAACTGGTCAATTAATTCCGGTCCGAATCCGTATGATCATTACCGTGTTGAGAGGAGCCCTTCACTGGTATCTATCGAACTCCTATCCTTCTATCCCAGTATATAAATATATATTTTTATGCTATCATCCCATATAACCCTGTATCTTTCAAGTGGTCACATCATGTTTTCCTACCAAATCTTTTTACCCATTTCTATTATCTCCCATACATACGTGTATTTCTGGTTCCATCTACCAAATCCTGTTCGATTTGGTCACAGTAATATGTACTATATGGCTGGAAGTACAGATTATGAAACTCTTTATCATGTAATTTTCAACATTTTCCTGTTATTTCTGTTAGGCCAAAAATGTTCTCCTCAACTCCCTTCTCTCAGACACTTTTAGTCTATGTTGTGCCCTTGGTGTGACAGACCAAGTACCAGATTCATAGCAAACAGCAGGCAAAGTCTGGCTTTATATGGTTTCATGTTCACGGTTTCAGATACCAGAAGGGGTTAATTGTGAAAGCTTCTTTATAACACAGCGTAATGCAATGCAGACTGACCTGTAATATCTTGCATCTGTTGGAGTCACAGCCATTGTCGTCCAGACACGGCCGGTACATGCCCAGAGTGACGCAGTTCAGAAGGATCACCAACATGCTGACGCGCTCGAACCACGTGACGTCTGAGTTAAGGAAAAGACTCGTACAACAATTTAAATAACACTGTACATATTTTAACATTGACATAACGTTTACAGTAAACTACAAGTTGTTCTGTATCCAAATATCCGTAATTTTCACCCAAACGGAAACACATTTCAGAGACAATTTGCCAAAAAAAAAGAAATCTGCAATGCGCTTATGTTATTCAGTCCCGCGTTAGTCTTCCCAGCCGACACTAGGAGCGCTGATCGCTGTTCTCCATCACAGTGGCGTACAGTTGGATTTGTAATCGCGTTGCAGTTTATATTTCATTCATGGATCTGCCACGTCGCCTAGGAAGACACACGTAAGGGCTAAAGGGAATACGTGCAGTATGATCTTATACTGGATGCTTGCAAGAGTTTTCTCATGCAACTGAAGAACAATATTCGCTATATGTTCCGCATAACGCGGAGTCTGCAATGTTACTTGCTTGTCAAGCTTACTCGTTGCTCCTGAAGATGGATGCAGTACGTTCACAGATTGCTTGATGTCACTGCCCACAGCCCAACAGGTGTTGATGACTGAATCATCAAGGGGCGCACACAGAATTGTGGGCTACTGAACGTTACACCACCTCGCATACGTCACGTGACATTTCAAAAGCATTTATTTGTAAGTTTCCCTAACTTATAGAATTATACAAATTAAATACACAGAAACTTTGGTCAGAAAACCCGACAGGAAGAGACAAGTTGAGAGACCTGGGCTATTAATGGCTCTGGATGGCGTCTTGTGAATAGTGTACCTTCTGATTAAAGAAGAGGCAGGAATTTCCTTGACTAGGTGAGCGGCAGCCAGCTTCTCATGAACTCTGTTGCATGCAGTTAGGTACAGTCTACTAATGTCGACAGAAACTTGTACTGAGAGTTGTGGGTGGGGGTGGGTGGGTGGGTGGAAATTTCGTTCCACTGCCCGTCCGGGCTCCCCAATTCCGCCCCAGGCTGTACCAATTCGCAATTTATCTCTGAAGTTGCTAGCTGGCTCGGAGCTAAGGAGCGGTATATTAAAGCGAATGAATAGTTATGTTGGCATACCTGCAGCTAATCGGGCCTGCTATTGTTATGAGATGTTTGTGTTGAAATTTGTTACTGATGCAGTGTTTATAATTCAATTTTGAAGCAAAATTTCGAACAATGCTGCCACAATGAATTTAACATCACATACGTCGGTAACAAATTCCACGTTTCATGATGTTACCCATGCAGCATTCGAATGTAAACAGTTGTGGGCCATAACTGCGTCTGAATTAACAGATAGAGTAAACTACTGATGAGTTAATAACTTTACAGTATGAAACGTTGCCGAGCTGCTTGCTTTAGGCGCTGACGCTTCCAACTCCTATTTTGGAGGCGCCCGGTTCCCATCTCGGTCGGGACACCGATTACCCGCAATAACATGTTCCGTGGATTTCCTCAGTCTCACTAGACGAATACAGGGATAGTACCCTGATATGCGCCAAGACCGTTTCCATACATATCCCTTCTATTTGATCATTAATATTCTGAAGCCCAGTGGTTACTGTACATACCACCGGCTTTAATATTGTGGTATACAGACCAGTTGCTAGGCAACGAGCGAAAGAAGTAACTATATAACAACCATTGCTAAGTAACTGCTCCTCAAAAAGGAATGCTTTCAAGGCAACGAGAGAACACAGCAATAATGGAAGAAACGTTTTCTACGCGGTCCGTGCCGAGCTGTTATGAACTAGACCAGTTATCCATTACAGTTAGGGAACTGTTCGGGTTCAGTCGCTGTGAGCTGTTGTTTAAAAGCTGGTAGCTGAGGCCGGGGACAGTTTGGGAATCGAGAGGAAGGGGCACGTCCACCGTTGGAAGCCACTACCAAGCAATGACAGTGAAAGACGTGACTGTGGACATTAGTGTGCGTACGTGTGTGTGTGTGTATGTAATAGTGTCTGGTATACTTCCTTCTATTTTAGACGTTAATTTTTCTAAACAAAAATTCAGGGATTGGGAAGGGGCAGATACCCGGATTGCCGTCAGTGTTTTACACTCGAAGCTGGAAACTAAACGCTGTGTACCTGTCACTCGGAACAGGGGATTTCTGTTTTCACGCTATTTAAATGTCACCTCCGATGATGGAGTTCACAGCCGAAATGTCTAGTGAATACTGAGGCGCGGGGGGGGGTGAAGTGTGATCGCCCGTTAGGAACAGATGTAGCCCGTGCAAACGTGAAGAGGGAGTGCAGAGAGAGGAGTAGAGACAAAATACACAAGAGCTGTCACTGTTTCAAAACATTAAAGTTCTAAAAATCATGGGACAAATAAATAACGCGAAGACTAAGCCATCATGGAGAAGTTACGAGAATAAGGACTTGCAGCGGTTTGTTTCTCTCCGCTGTTATTTGGGGCATGGAACTTACAGTTCCTCGGAGCACTGGTATCTCAGACGTGAGGGATGTAGTCTGGCAGAAGATAAGTTTCTAACCGACTACACGGAGTCATATCCCGAAGTACAATAGCCTCCGCAGTCACTGGTGTAGTGGTAATATTCTGGGCTCCTATTCCGGAGGACCTCGGTTCGAAACTCAGTCCGAACACAGGCTATCCCGACTGAGGATATTCGTGTGTTTTACTCAGTTTCTCCAGGCAAATAGATGCCGGGATTTTAGTTCGATAGGCCACTACCACTTTCTCCGAAATAATTTCGCAATACATTATTCACCAATAATCCTACCATTCGAAGCCATATAGACGAGACGCCGAGAGCGCCGTAAAGCAGACAACACGCAACACAAACACTCTGTCGCAACAGTGAGAGCCCTCAGATCTCACCTCCCTCAGTGCCGATACCACTTGTTTTCCTGGGTGGTAACCAACATTTTAAGCCATATTTCTGATCCTGTCTAGACACCCTGTAAATGGAAGCGTCAAGTTCTTCCGAAGCATTTGTAACAACCAACCAGACTACAAGGCGTGGCAACCCCCCCCCCCCAAACAATCCAAACGTTCATTACTTTCAAAACCGCAAAAGATAATCCGAGGGCTACTTAACGAAGGCTTCAGTAAAGGCGAGGTTAAATCGTTCATGCGCTTAATTAATTAATACCACGCTATGAAGACGTATGGCGGACTGGTGGTATTGCTCCACCATTCCTGACCTCCATACTAGATGGAAGTGAATGATCAGCTTCATGGCTCGGAAGCTGTACCCCTAGGATCTATTAGACAGAAGGTTGGATGGGCCCCAGGGCCGGTTTGGACGCTGTGAAGCCGAGAAATATCTCTTTCCCCTGCCAGGAATCGAACTCCTGCCGTCCAGGTCGTAGCGACTGTGTCGAGAATTGTAGCGTAAGAGAGGATGTCTTATGAGTTATGAATTGGAAGGGACTGGGAAGGAAGTGCTGTTGGTCTAGCCGAGGTACTATCCCGGAATTTGTCGGGAGGGACCGAGGAAAGCTACGTAGAACCTCAGTCACTATAGACGATGTCCAGGACGGAGATCCGAAAGGACGACCTATTCAACAGGCCAAACGCTGACATTTTTAGCAGGGATTATGGAGTCGAACCCACGGGCTGCAGAGGTTCCTGCATTATTTATTTTGGTTTATTTGGGTGTGGGGTGAGACTGAGTTCACTTGGTACGTCAGCCACTAACTGGCCTACTGTACCAGCCCCGGATGTTTGGTGATGATGAGTGTGGAGCAGTTGGTGGAACGAGAATTGGCAGGGGAAACCGAAGCACTCACAGAAAACCCGTCTCAGTGTCACAGGACCTGACCTGGGCTCGAACCCAGGCGGCGACTAACCGCGTGAGCTGTAGCACGCTGATGTAGGTTGCCGCTGCAGTTCTAACGTGACCTTACGGTTATCTTCTGGGTTATAACGTTTCGAGGAACATATCGCCTCCATGTTCAGGATCGGATAAGCTGAGCAAGATACCACTGTGAAAGCAGACCTCTTAATAATGCCTCAGTTGGTAGGAAGGGCCACGCATATTGGCCACGAAAGTATTGACTGAGTATTGAATACTGACAATGGTAGCTCATACCTGTAACATAATAGCATAACTTGATCTCTCTTTTACGATGGAAAGGGGGGGGGACAGGTGTGACGTCCGCTATTGGTCGTAACGGTTCCGATGACGTAAATCGAAACATGGCGGCCCCAAGCGGGCCAGTTCCCACTGAATACAGTAGCAATCTACTGTCTAGACCAGGGGTGGGCAATTACCCCGGATAGGGGACCACATCAGCAGCTTTCGTAAACTCTACACGCCAGAGACTGCACCTATGTGCAATTTATGTATCTCATTTCCACCTGACGGATATTAATACACAACATCCGGGATGTTCCAGTCGGTATACTGACTAGGCTACGGGGCTGGACAATCGAGGGATATGGGTTCTATTCCCTATAGGAGCAATAGAGATGCTTTTCCTCTCCACAGCGCCAAGAGGGGCTCTCCGGTTCATCCAGCCTCCTATTCAGTGGGTACCGGGTCGAAACCTGCAATACTCCACTCCACCAATACTCCACACTCTTATATCATCTGGGGCTGGTACAACAGATCGCGTGATGCTGAATTACGGGTCTCAGCCCATATATATATATATATATCCTACTGCTACGGATGATAAATGTTACTGCGTTTCCGCTCTGTCTCTCGACGCCGTGACCGGAAAATCTAGGCGTATACTGCGCATGCGCGTGTGTATGTGTTTATGTTATGCTTCTCTCATTATCTGGAGACAGGATTCTGGACTACACACTCCACAGAGGAACTAGCAGGAAGATTCCCTTTCCTGATTTACTGGGAATTTCAAAAGCCAAGCAGGATCTCATTCAAGACGGCAGAGTGTCTGCTGATATTCGAACCGACCGCCTCTCGAAAACAAGGTCAGAGCAAGAGAGACTGGGGAGAGGCCTTAAGATATAGAAACTAAACCACTGGGTTCATTTGGTCACACTCAAATCACATTGACACCCCGGAACAGCGG